CTGACTAATACAAAGACATTGTAAAAATATAACCAAAGTGACTTTTTGATTAATTAAGAGTGTCTTTGAATAGGTGAGCCTTAGTCATGTCATTGTTTTAGAATTTGAGTGTTCTGAATTAGCACAATCCACCCCCAAAATACAGTTGTGTTCTCTGCTGTAGTCTGCATAGGGCCTGGTATAATAGATATCTCAACAAATGTGATCTAAGTAAATATTTAAAAAGACTTAGTCTACTGAATACATAATATTTTCTATGCATATTTAGGCAGAATTATATAAATAAGTAGTTCTATGCATTATTTAATAAATAGTTTGCTCAAACAACTATTTACTTACATGAGAAAAAAATACATCCAAATAGAAAACAATACAAAAATCAGTTTCAGGTCAATCATAGATTTAAAATCAAAAAGCAAATTAAAAATAAAAGTACAAGAAAAAAATAGCAAAATGTCTTTTTGGCTACATAGATTAAATTTCCTTAAGAAGACACAAAATATCTGAAAGGAAAAGATAAATAAATTTACCCAAAATACATTTAAAAACACAAAGGATTTATACACAAAGGGTTTTCTATAATTCAGGCATGACAAAATAGCTGGTATCAGAATAACTTTCTTGTCAAAAGCAATTATCAAAGTGGGACAAAATAAAAGAAAATCATCTGAGGGAATTGGAAAAATAAAGAAAATATCTAAAAGACTACTATCCTTGAGAAAAGAGGACAGCAGGTGAAATCCACTTAACCTTATCTTTCCTGAAGCCATATCCAGGTTCGTCCTGCAGGAGTCTAAAACCCAAGAAGGCTGTGATCTCACTGGGAAGGGAAGATAGAGGTCAGAGACTTTGGAAGGCAAATCAGGTGAAAAGTGAAGGACAAAGTAATGAATATCCTGCATAGGGGACTATGGACGGAAGCTCAAAAATCTGTATATAAGTTCATCATAAGTCATTGCCTGATTCTTAACTAGTCATATCAATAAAAACTACCACTACATGCAACAATATGGCTGAATCTCATAAGCAGAAAGTTGAGTGTAAGAAGCTAGACACAGAACAGTATATACTGTGTAAGTTCAGTTATGGGAAGTTCAAGGACAGAGAACAGTAATATACAGTGACAATATTTTGAACTTTAAATGAATGATGTGGAATGGTATATATCAGTAGTACTTGGGGGGAAAATTCATAAAGAAAACAAAGCAAATTGCCAAAAGAAGATGTATAATATGACAGCATTCAGTTAAAACTTAGAAATCTCAAAAGAATGCTTTGTTGAGTTTATGAATATATACACTTGAAATCTGAAGTTAATATTTGATAAAACTTGGTAGAGGATACATTATTTTATATATTATTTTGTATGCTGATATATATATATGTATTTTAACATATATTTCTTTAAAATAATATATTTAACATATATTTAAATATATATATATATTTTAACAATAAGGTCTATGTGCTTGTCTTTAAACGCTCTAATCCTGAAAATTATGTCATCAGTTGAAAAGTTGCTACAATGGAAGCATAACCTCTGGTCAAAAGAACTGTGTGCTTTTGACAGTATTATTACTTTAAAAATGAATTTCTCAGAAGGGTGGTTTAATTTATTATGGGTAGGTTAGATTTATTACTAAAAAAATCATCTAAAAAGTTTATCTTACAAGTTAAGACATTCATATTCTATTTCATACTAAGAATATAATAATGAAAACTCTTAAATATTTATAATTTAAGAATGTATATGATATCTGTATAATAAAACACACTAGTGTCCATGACATAATATCTTCCTCAGGAAGTATACAGTTTAATAAGAAAAAGATAATAATTTGGCATCATAGCTTCTTATACCTCCAAATCTGGATTTCCCAATTGACCAAAGAAAAGAATCAAATAGGGATGCCTGGGTGGCTCAGTTAGTCAAGCATCTGCCTTTGGCTCAGGTCATGATCCTAGGGTCCTGGGATCGAGCCCCACATTGGACTCCTTGCTTCTCCCTCTGCCTGTTGCTTCCCCTGATTGGGCTCTCTTTCTCTCTCTGACAAATAAATAATAAAATCTTTAAAAAAAAGAATCAAATAGTTTACCATACAAAAATACATGGGCACTTAGAAGTTTTTTTGTGTTTTTCATCTATTTCGGGCCCAAACTCAATGACAGTATGTCAGGTCTAGTAAATGTCAGTGTTTGCATTTTCAAGGTTTACTATTTGACATACCTTTAAGCCTCAATAGAGAACTTTTCTCCAAGAGAACATACATATTTAAAAAAAATAATAAAGAACTTAAATTATTTAATACATACTTTTATATGCCTTTAACTTGGGTACCTTGAACACAAGTCCATCCAGCAACCAAGGAAGTTAAATCTACAATGTCTGACATTTAATAAAAAATTACCAGGTAAATAAAAAGTAGACATAAGGCCCCTAATGAGGAGAAAAAAAAATCAATCAGTGAAAACAGAGTCAGAAACAATACATATATAGTATGTATCAGAAGATAATGAAGTTAAAAAAGCTAATGTAAACCTACTCCATACGACCATGAAGATAGAGGAAAAAATTAGGATGATAAGGAAGGTCATGAAAGATAATTTCCTTAAAAAGACCCAAATTGAACACCTAGAGATAAAAAATAAAATATCTAAAATAAAAACATGTGAGATGAGATTAACAGAAAATTGTACACCACTGATGAAAAGATTAGTCACTTTAAAATAGAAGACTTTCTAAAACTCTCCCTCCCCCATGCACACCCATAAGACACTGTGACTCCCAACTGCTCCTACATTAAAACCAGTATTCTCAGTATAGCCTCAAAAACCTGCATAGTACATTCCTCACCTATTTCCAAATCTCAGCATGCATCATGGTTTCAATCTTAGCAGGTTTAAGCTGCCTTGCCTTTTTTTTATGGTCTTTACCTGAATATTTGTCAATTACACATGAGGACTCATCTTCCAAAATTTCACCCCCCCATTGCCTCCCATTGTTTCCTAGTTACCTACTTTAAATATCACCTACAGCATTATTTCCTTGGGGAAGCTCTCCATGATTCCACAGATTAGGTTGTTACCTCGCGACCATATAGTCTCATAGCTCCTGTGTTTATTTTATTTTTAATTTATCACTTAGTTGTAATTTTACATGTTTTGTGTCATTATATTTTTAGCACCGACCTTTTCCACTAGTGTGCGGGTAAGAAATAAATTTTGTTCACCAGTGAATTCCCAGCATACCACGTGACACATACTAAGTAATCAACATTTTTTTTAAATAATAAGGGAATTGTAAATTAAGATTTTTCTTTGAGCTATAATGTGTTTGGTTTATGAAGTCTCTGCTTCATTAAATATAATTATGCAGGCACAAACTTCCTTAGTTTTTAAGCCCCAAATCAATCAGTTTTCTGTATTTGTATTATTCCTAAGTGGTAATTTCTCAGAAACATTAAGTAATTTATCAAGACTAACATACTAAGCTTAAGTACAAAGGGATTCATGTTCTAACTAAAAATACACCAAAGCATAATAAACAAAATATATTAAATAACAGTATACATATCAAAATATATCAAAAATATTTTGCTTCTCACTATTGAATTATATAGTGCATGAATGACAAAAATAACTGTTTATTCAAAGACCCACACTAAAACATTTAAGTCTTGATGACAAAATTTAGTGAGGATGCTAGTCAGTATGTACCAATAAATTGTTCCCCAGTGTATGCAGAGATAATGAAATCACTTATGTGAATTAAGGTGCATATTGAGTTTAGGGAGTAGGAGTTTCCTCTGACTAGTAGTATCAGGGTTAGATTTTAAAATATCTTAACATTCTGTAAATTAAATAATAATAATAATATAAAATGATTTTCCTTACCAGTGTAACCATGAGGTGCTTGACAAAAAGGAAATAAAAACCACACTGTAAAAGAGCATAATCTCATTTCAAATCTAAAATGATTTCCACTAAAAAAGATCCATGAAGAAGAGCTTACATTTCAAAATTACAAAATGTACAAGGAGTATCAATACACACAATAAAGAACAGATTGAAATACTCCAGAAAACTTTAGAAAATGGTTGACCATCTGAAAGATATTATACAATGGTATATCCAAAATTGTTAAAAGCCTAAAAGAAGGAATATAAAACAAGACAAAATTATAAGAAAAGATAACTTAGAGAAAGAGCAAAAAAAATACCAATTTCTATAATTAAAAAAGAAAGTGAAAAATGAGTAAAAAGTAAAATTGTAGATTGTCTAATAGCACATTGCTGGCAAACACAGAATTAATAAATTCAAAGAAAGAATTGAGCAAATTCCATGCCTCCCATGAAACAGATAGCTATATGAAAATGAGATTAAGGGACTTGAAAGGAAAAGTAAGAAGGTATTTCTATTACTGCTGTCAAGCAAGGAAGCAGAACCAATATGAGTACTATGGAATAAGAAATTGTTTATAATAACTGGGCCTTATACAATTATGGAGGAAGCCAAAAACATAAAGTCAGATGACCGAAGAAAAGTCACTATTAAGGGGCCTCAAAGAGGAGCTGGTGAAGTGGATGAAAGGCTATTGCCTTCGAATCTGGTGGTTGCCTGAAATTGCTATATGTCAATGGGACAGTAGTTGATAAGAATAACTGGACACAAAGCAGAGGCAATCAAGGACAAACAGTAACCAAATAGTAATATGCTCAAAGATAACCTGGAACCCATAAAGACTAACTGGAATCCAAGATGAAAAACTGTAACCCATTAAGACAATCTAAAACTTAACAGTTTTCTCTGACTGCATCTAACCTCAAAGATGCAAGTGGCATGCACAGGACATTAGTGCCTTTCACAAAGTGCGTAGCTCAGCTAAGGGAGGAGATATGGTAAAAGCTAGAGAAGCAGAGGGCCTGAACATTGTCCCACACCAACAAAACAAGCCAACAAATCAGCAATAATATGGAGGTGCCTGGGATCAGATACAGACCTGGTGCTTCACTTCTGCCTTCCAAATCTCATGCAAATCTTTCTTGCAGCCAAGGCTAACCTGGAACTACAGAAAGGAGAGAATTCTGAGAATGATAGTTCTAGCTTAGCTACATTGACAAAGCATGAATTCATCACAGTCCTTTTTACAAATTGGTATCCATACATCACTCTTTGGAACATTTAATTTGCAAACAAATAAATGTGCTTCCATCTATGCTACAATCCCTTTACAGTTGAAAACAACCAACTTTCACCACAAAGTCACTTTATCCCTCTCTGGGTGATGTTTATTCCTATTCTAGCTGAGTCTCGATCCTTCTTTGATATCCTTTAATGTAATGCTGATAAGTTGTATATATATATCACATACACACACATACACACACACATATAACACACACATATATTCTTTTTTAAATAATTGAGAAGCATTCATAAAGCATGCAATCTTTTTTTAAAAGATTGTATTTATTTATTTGACAGAGACACAGCGAGAGAGGGAACACAAGCAAGGGGAGTGGGAGAGGGAGAAGCAGGCTTCCTGTGGAGCAGAAAGCCTGATGCGGGGCTCGATCCCAGGACCCTGGGATCATGACCTGAGCCGAAGGCAGAGGCTTAACCACTGAGCCATCCACGCACCCCTGCAATCTTATTTTTGTAAGAAATCATGTGGTGGTAGCAGGCATTTAGACCTTCTTCTTCCCTTAATAATTCCATATTCCTTTTGCCATTAGTAAAACCTCAGCTCATTATTGTTCCTTGCCTGATGAGGTAAACCAAAATTTCATTCATGAAATGTCTAGGTTATTAATGGGTTGCTTATATTGAACTTACTTCCAACAAGTAGTCTGGGAGGGAGAACAATAGTATCTTTGTAGTAGTGAACCCACATCGACACCACCTTAACCAAATGATTAAGGATGACATCCCTAAGGAGAAGTCGAGTTTAAATCAGTCACTCTCAGATATGATGAAATGAGGAAAGCATTTTACTTCTATGGTATTCTTTTTCTAAGTCCATCACTCCAGTTTAATCATGAAAAAATATCAAAGTCTTAACACTAATAGAACAATGATGTTTATAAATATATTTCGAGCCCCACATCGGGCTCCCTGCTCAACAGGAAGCCTGCTTCTCCCTCTCCCACTCCCCCCTGCTTGTTTCTGCTCTCACTAACTCTCTCTCTCTGTCAAATAAATAAATAAAATCTTTAAAATATATATATGTTAAATATATAATGTGTATGTATATGCATATATGTATACATTGTGTGTGTGTGTGTGTGTGTATATATATATATATATAATGTATAGTGGTGTGTAATAAAAATATAATGGGAAAAACCTAAAGGTAAAGCCGAGTCAATTTTGCCATTCAGTTAGAAGAAAATTTGTCTTATTTGGTTCACATTTGTAATATTATTTAAACTTACATGCTGAGCATATTTGGAGGACAATTAAGATTTTGGGCATAAAAGCAAAATACTTGTTATTAATCAGAGTTTATGTCTTATATTCATTCATTCTAGCAATATTATATTCATTCTAGCAATTATCCTCCAGAGGAAAGACTAGAATTATTCTGACTTAAGGACATGATTGGTCCCTCACTTTAAATAGATGCTGTGATGTGATGCATAGCAGCAATGCATGCCAATCTCAGAATATGAATTAGGAATGTAGAAAGGATTTCTTGAACATATAGTAATGGAAATGGAGTCGGTCTCTTAATAACTGCAGCAGCTGTTGAAATAAAGAGGAAATACTGAATATTTTATGTGAAAATAATCCAGAATGTTTATTTTCTTTATTTTTAAAAAATATTTAATTCAATTATGCTGTTTCCATAGTAAAGCCATATAATTGGCTAAAAATACACTTGAAAATGATGCCTTGTATTTTTCTAGTGCTAGCAGAAAATTATCAAGGAATGAAGACAGTCATGCCTAAATATCTTAGGCTTATTTCTGAATCTTATTAATGGCATTTGCTCCATAAGCAAGAGCATCACATTGCTGACCCTATCCTAGACAAAGCACAGGTGGTCAACACATAACAGGAACATTAAAAATATTTCTTTTTTTAATTCCTCATTTTTTTCTCACTTTTGGTGCATGTATTATCTTATTTTTTCCTTAATTCAATTTAACACTTCCCCAGGTTATATATTTCAGTTATCTTCATAATCACTAGTTTTTATTCATATCAACTCACCATCTTTATGTCAACTATAAGCAAGATATTTTAAGAATATTTGTGGCATAAAGAAGAATAAACTATGTTCTTTTGCACTCAAGGAATTTATAATTCATTGGGAGAGAATCATCTAATTGTAAAAATAACTGTTTTTAAGTAAAATAATATTATGTTTTATATTAAATGGTATAGGAGAGAAATAGCCAACTTCTTAAATATAGACTTTAGCAATTAACATTATTCCAAAGACCACATTTGTCTATCATTTTACTGCATTATGCAAAATAGACCCAGAAGTAGCAAGTACTCTGAATACTTTTAAAAAACAAGCACCCTGGAAATAAAAGGGAAAATATGCAGATTCAGGAACTGTCACATATGTAAAATTTTTTAGGAATATACTGGTCTATGACAAGCCAGGATATCACATCTTAAAAAACAAGTTGTTACACCTCATTCCCCTATCAACAAACTGAGGGTTCTAGAGGGGAGGGGGTGGGGCGATGGGTTAGCCTGGTGATGGGTATTAAAGAGGGCATGTACTGAATGGAGCACTGGGTGTTATATGCAAACAATGAATCATGGAACACTACATCAAAAACTAATGATGTAATGTATGGTGATTAACATAACATAATAAACTAAAATAAATAAAAAATAAATAAATCACTAAGTGGTATAGCACTTGGTAGGTCTCTTTGGAATTTTGAAGCCATATATACCAAGCTGGAGAAAAATTTTCTAACCAATTGTCAGGGCATTTGAAGGGTTGTCAATTTTAAGTGAGGCCAAGAATAAGAGATGACTCTGTAGCAGGTCCTAGGCTATAGGGATATCTACCCAGCCACCCAATCATATGACCCAGCAGATCCAATGATGTTAGATGTATCTCTGGTGGATAAGGGTGCTGTGTGGAATCTCTGGAAATTACCAACAAGTATTATTGCAGAGCCCTAGGGTTCTGATGAAGGCCATCATTCTGTGACAGAAGGCTGGCATGTTAAAGTTCCTTATCATGAGAGAATAGATAATTCTGTGACTGGTAGTGCTCATCTTGACTCAGTTATTGTCAAATTCACCAAGTCATATAATTGGGTGGTGCTACACAATCCATGATACAATGGAAACAGTACATTTAGGATCACACCTGAGGTCTATAAGATATAAATAAGGTTAAAGAGCATAAGTAAGTTAGATGATCAAGTGTTCAGATTCTCATATCACTTGTCTTTCTTACACTGAAGCGTGCCACTCAGCTCACACTTACGATTTCTTGGGAGGGTGATTCCTATCATTCTCTTATAGAAGGGGGAAAACCTCATTAGAAGATGTATTGCTGCAGGATGTAGAGGTAAATTAAAAATGGATTTCTATTTCAGGACAGTGCTATTTATGTGTGGTCCAAAAGAATAGAAATGAGAAGTCCTACCACTGGCAAAGCTGCAGGGAGCACATTTGATTGGCGGATTTGTTTGGAGAAAGTACTTTAAGATTTGCACATACACAGAATTCTGGACAATGGTGAATGGCTTGACTGGTTAATAAGAGGTAAGGAATATAATTAGAAGATCAGAGACAAAAAAAATCTGGGAAAGGGGTAAATGGATGAACCTAAGGAAGTGGCATGAGTATGGAGATTTATGTGTCAGCTATTAACCCAGCCATAGAGCATCCAACACAGGGGAAACGCAATAGCCCAGGTAGATGGGATGACTTAACCTATGGTCATCAGTAGTCTCTGTCCTCAACAGTCACACTGCACGACAAAAAGGGGCATGAATGGAATAGCCATGCTGGCAGGGATGGTGGTTGAACATGGGATTAATGGCATTGTCTCCCTCTCACTGCAGTTGATTTAGGTACTGTCACTATTGAATGCCTAACTTGCTAGCATCAGAGACTGACACTGAGCTCCCATTATGGCAAAATCTCCCAGGCCAGTCACTTAGTAGTAAATGGATTATGTTGAGCTTCTTCCACAATGTAAGAGACAGCGATTGATCTTTACTAGAATTGATACCTACTAATTTAGATTTCTCTTTCCTGGCTGTAGGACTGCTGCTAGTTCCAGCATCACAGAATTATTTATCTATGGATATGATACTCACACACATTGCTTCAGATGGGGGATATCATTTTATGGCAAAGCAAGAACTACATAGGTTCCATATTGTACAATATATTGCATTTCCTAAAAAGAGTCAGTTAGCTATCACTCAGTTGATTATTTTAGAGTTCTTTTGCCAGGGGAGCAGAAAGAATAAGAAAATAGGGTTATTATATTAGAAGGTAGATAACTAACCCTTATTATGATAAAGACCTAGGAATGCTGCTAGAGAAGAAGACAGGAAAGAGTGTGCCTAGAATTCAGGGGTCCACTAAGACATTTTTAATACTCCCATGCCCCATTATAATAGTGACTGATAATAAAGTAAATGCAAGATTCTCGATGCCTCAAAACACTTGTGTTGTGGTACGAGTCAATCAATCAGGCAAACATCAGCCCAGTTGATGTGATGTCCAAATGTGAAGAAAATAATAGAATGAGTGGTAGTGAAGAGGGAACTGGCTACTGGAGCAAGGACAATAGCTTGTTCCACTAACAAGCATTAAGTATGGAATTCTTGCCGAGGGACTTATGCATATTGTGAGTGGATCCAAATGGGGCAAGAATGGACCATATGAATATTACTTTTGTACTGACATATATTCTGTGATTACAGCCTTGGCTATGGTGAACAATTCCAAGCAGGCTTTAATCTACTTCACAATCATGGTGACTAAAGTGAAATGTGTACCGTATGTACAGTATGTATGTATATATGTCAGGACTTTCCTGATGCTGAGGCATGGGACGCCTGTAAAAGACACTTGACATTCATATGCAAATACCACATGAGTGTGGGGAGTTTATATTCTAAGGGTCAAATCTCAAGGAATGGGAGAACAGAGCTGATGGAAAAATCCTCCATTTCATCCCTCAGGCACACAATTATACAGCTCTTCAGAGGGTCCTGGTAGAGTCAAGTGTCCAAAGCCCTCAGTGATCACCATTCAGTAATTGACTTTTTATTTTTTATTGTTATGTTAATCACCACACATTACATCATCAGTTTTTGATGTAGTGTTCCATGATTCATGTTTTCCTATAACACCCAGTGCTCCACACAGAATGTGCCCTCTTTAATACCCATCACCAGGCTAACCCATCCCCCCACCCCCCTCCCCTCTAGAACGCTCAGTTTGTTTTTCAGAGTCTATCGTCTCTCATGGTTCGTCTTCAGTAATTGACTTTTATTTTGGCTTTTCCTCTTCTTGTTTCCTTCTTCTCATTCTTTATTCTTGCTTTGTAATGTTGGTTCCTTCATAAACTATGTGCATACAAGCCTGGATGTCAGCCTCCACTTTATGGATGTATCCGTACTTTCCAAGTAAAAATTTAACTTCTCTCTGCCTAGGTGTATTCACTGTATTTGGATAGCAATAATAATGTCTATATCATCTGATTGCTATAAGGATTATGTGAGGTACCAATTGTAAACTACTTAGAACAGTGCCTGGCACATAATAAGTGTTTTGTATGTTATTAACAATTAAAGAACAGAGGAGGATAAAGTTTTAAAAGATTGAACGAGATGGTCTCAGCTATATATGATAGAATATAAATTAGAAATTAATTTTTCCAGAATATATAGCTTTCTTATTTGTACTACCTTCAACTCCCAAACTTTTCTCATTTCTATGCCATTAGAATTCATTTTATTTTTACTCTACTCACACAATGAATTTCTGTTGATAATCTAAAACACGAGACCCTAGATCACTCAAATAATGAAAATTGTCCACTTAGAATAATATTAGAATGCGCAAATGAACAAGCTGAAGATGCTCCTGATAACAAACTCTGAGCACTATTTACAAACTACATTGATATCAAGGCAAAGACTTTAAACATACAGTTTCCAGATTACCATATAAGTAGATGGATAGACAGATAGATGATAGATGATAGATGATAGATAGATAGATAGATAGATGATAGATACATCTCCACCTGTTGAAGCTGTATAGAAAATGGAAAAAGGAAGGAGATATAGGGATAGTATCTTACGTATCCGAATTCTCACGGTCCATTTCCTTAAGGGAGTAGGAAGAGAAGAACACATCTGTGACGTTTCCCTTACGTCACTGACAAGCATCCTGCATCCATCTTCCTCCTGTAGAAAAATAGTTGATTTACGTGAATATATAAACATTCAAATAGCCTCTAGGCTTGAACAAGAAAAATACCCTAAGAACTACTGAATTATCCTTTTCTAATGAGCCATTTCTTCCAACATTCCATAAAATTATTCTCCTAAATCCTCTTCTCCTCAAAAGTACAATGAAATACATTATTTTTATTGTAAAGAAAAATATTTCCATGATTATTAAATAAGCTATATATATGTGTGTGTATATGTATATACACACACATATATATAATACTCTTAGAAAAAGGAAGTTTAGTAAAGTTTTCATGTTTGCATGTAAGAAATTGTCTGGCGAATGGAGTGAAACCTGGAAAACAATAATGAAAAAAATCTCCCAAAGCATTTTTCTCCAATATTTGGACACTTAAAAGTATTGTTAAAATATGTTTCTTTCTTTTTCAATCTTCTTCCTGTCTTAAATATTATCATCAACCATGGAGACAGCCTTTATGTTCAGCTATCACCCACAGACATGAACAGCACTCTGTGTATGCATTATAGTATTTTTAAAAAAAATCAAAGGTTGAAATATTTCACACAATGAAGTGATGTTACAGGGATTTTATCATTAAGTGGATTTGGTAAAGAGTATTAAATATTCATCTAACTACAAAAAAATCACTTGAGAATCATTCTTGCTTCTTAAATGTCCTCTGGATAAAATACTGCCCCTCCCCAATCATATTTTTGGAGAGTAAAATGTTATTCTTAACTACATAGTCATTCTTCAGAGAACAATGTTATACACATCTGCTCTGGATCTATTAAACAGCCCCTCCCTTCATCACATCAATCTACTGTTATGCAGAGAAAGGGGGAGAATGTATAATAGATGAGAAGTTTATTATTTTATAGCACTTGTCAATCTGACACTTAAAGAAAAAAAAAAAGCACCTGCATGGAAGTTTTGTTTCAAAGAAATGACATTTTTCTCTTATGGAACCAACATTTCTTAGTAAAGCAAAAGAAGATGTAGATTGTAAAGAAGGCAGTGAAGGTGTATAATCATATCTGAAGGGTAAATATAAGCACTATACCTAGTTACCATTCCATGATGGAATATTGACAATTTTCTTTTACCATTTACTTTAAATATTAGAGAGCTTGCCTCACTTGACTTTAAATGATACTGTAAATCAAGTGTGGAGTGGAAATCGTTACCAAATGCCAAAAGATCTCTCTTTCTAAACTGTCTGCCTTGTTTTTACATATTTAACTTAGATTATTTTGTCTCCATGTAAATCAGACAAATAAATGAAAGAAAATGCTTAGTTTTTCCTTCTATCTGAGTTGTGGTCCTAATAATTCATCTTTCCCAACTGTAAAGGATAACATATTATTTTCATTTCCTTATCTTTGCATTCAGCTTTCACCTAGTTTATATCTCATGATACCAAAGTGTATTCCTTACCAGATGTCCACCAATACCAGAATTGCTCCCTTTGTGAAATATACTACCATGGTGCTTAGAAGGAGGTATGAAATGATTGAATAATGTTAACTTTCCTTGTTTTTATAACTAGATCTTTTTATGTGGGGTCAGGGCAAGCCATGTAATTCTACTAGAAAAGTTATAAAAGGAATACAAATTTCATTCTTGTCATCACTGAGTTTATAAACAAAAGGATAACAAATATACTGAAGAGTAAGAAAGTTGGTGGATGCAACTCAAGTCATAGAATTATTGCCCCCAAATGCCTAATAAAATGAGCATAAAACCACAAATCATAAAAGAGAGGAATTCACAGTAGTAACCAAGAAGGATATGATACCACCTCATTCCAAAGAAAAGATAAAGTGCTGGTACCTTGACCCAAACTTCATAGTAGGCTCAAACACACACACACACACACACACACACACACACACACACACACACAGACATCATTCTGAAAATTAATAACAAGAAAGAAGATGAGTGACTGAGTGGCACAATTGTGAGAATTCCCATGATTATACCTGACGTTGGAAAGAAGTGGACTAAGATTTACATAAGACACAGGATTTCTGCAGAAGCAAGAAGAGTGTCAAATTTTGACATTTTCCAGTGTTCCTTGCAGAAATATGGTAATGATTAGAAGCCCAAAGTTATAAGTCCTTATAAAAATAGGTATCTTAAATCTTGTTAGAAGATATTTGCCAGGATCTTAGAGGAAAGAACAGAAGGCCAAATTGAGATTCTTCCACATGCTCAAACTACAAAAACACTCCTCTAACTGGAGCTCAGAGAGAAGACATTCCCAGATAAGTAGGGAGTTACCTGATGTAAGAAAAGTGGCTTTCAAGATAAAGTAGAAGCAACAGCCGCCTTGAATTTGAGCAAATGACAAGTGGTACAGCACAACAACGTGGTAACTGTTATGAAAACCATAACTAATGAGAAAAAAAAGAGGAAAAATTGATGGTAATGAAAGAGAAATAAGAGAAAGAAAGAAATGTAGTGAACCAAAAGAAAGAAACAAAATAAGGAGCTCATTTTGAAGAAAACATTAGGGAGTGATCAGTGGAAAACGTAAAGACAAGAAAAATAGAACACAAATTCAAAAATCAAAGACCACAGTAAGATTAAAAACTATTATTATCTAAAAAGGGAGAGCTGAGGAAATCAAGAATTAAAACAGCCAATTGAGAGAACTACATTACAGAACATCCCATAACAGAACACACACAGATGAAAATGTGGTCATTGGCCCGAAAGAACCTAGGCTCATCAGTGCGAACACAAAAAAGAAAGACAAATACTAAAGAAATCAGAGTTCATAGCTTTTATCTGATTGAACAAAAATTCTGTGCCCTCAAGAAAAAGGTAAGAAACATTGAACACCTTTGAAAACCCAAAATGTGCTTGGATTTCAGAATATGCATGTCCATTTCCTAAACACAAAGCTCTGTTAATCTCATCTCATTGTGCCTTTGCAATAGTCACATGAGGTTAGAAGGTCTCACTTTTTTCCCATTTAACAAATAACTAAACTGAGGTGCAGAGAAAATGACGTGGCCAACATCAAATATCAAGGAAGTTAAGAAGAAAAGTTATTAATTTAGATGTTCTTGACTTAGAGCTGACGCTCTCTCTTTTGTCCTGGAAATGGCCAGTTAAGGCACATAGCAGTGGTGTGGAAAATACTAAGTGTGAAATTTTTAAGACAGGATTGGAGTATGGGCATTTATCTGTCATTTAAAAATGTCTTATATCTTTCTTTGAATTGTAAGCAACATCAGATATTATTTCAAATGATACTCCAGAGAAAAACTGAAAATAACTAAAACTGGATGAAATGCAGCAGCAGATTCCTATAGGGACCAATTACAAATAAACAGCCTCATTAAAGCTGTAAATTCTTATAAAGTACATCAGAGCAGGAACATCCCACAGTGAAGCACAGGTGTACACAGTTACTACCAATATTTAGCATAATTTAAATTTGGAACATAATTTAAAGTAATTTATGGGAAAATGCAGGCATATGAGGATTTCCCAACCAAATGATGATAGAAGAAACTGCAGTGCAAGATTGAAATGTCTACTTTGTTCTCTATTATGTTTGTCTGATTTGCCGTCTCTGTTCCCCCTTTCTATTTCTCCCTTAATTTTAGAAACTACCTAGTGCTTTCTGTAATTCACTGATGGGTCCCACATTGACCTTCCTCCTTTGAAAGTTATTCCATATCCGTTCATACATTCTCCTCATTTAGACAAGTCATTACATTTTCTTCCTTCAAGAGTTTTAGAACTAAGTTTCATGAACATGACTAGGAGGATATTTATCAATATATATATTAAAGTGCAAATACTTTTCATAAAATGAATTCCTTAAAGAGAGAAAAATTAGAGGAATAGTTATTTGCAGATAATAGGACAGAAAAAGTATGATTATAAAGAAATGTCTGGAATTATAATTTCCATTTTTACTTTCTAATACCAGAAAACTGAAATTAACATGATAGCTTCATTTTTACCACACCCAACACATTTCATCAATATGAGTCAATGCATTACATATGGAGACTAAAATGGAATGTAACTAGCAGAATTCATGTTAATGACGTCAAAGTCAGTAGTAAGTAGCTTTATAAGTATGAATGATGTCTAGGGAAAAAGTTAATTCATTCTCAAATTGAATTCACAAACTTAATTTACTGACTCTGATTTTTATGTATACATTAGAGAAAAATGTTCTTAGAATAAATTATTTGAAAATCACTTTGCCTGACTGCCTAGAACCTAGTTAAATTTGACTTTTACATTATTGAAAACTGAAAATGTAAGTAGTCCATATACGTGACCTTAGTCAAAATATTAACACTCTTAGCTAGTTTCCTCATCTATAGAATGAATATTGGATATGGTAAACTAGGTGCTTTTAACTTGGGAACAAAGAATCTTTCGTTAAGAAACTATGTTACACGCAACTAATGAATCATTGAACACTACATCAAAAACTAATGATGTACTATATGTTGGCTAATTGAATTGAAAGAAAGAAAGAAAGAAAGAAAGAAAGAAAGAAAGAAAGAAAGAAATTATATGTTGGCCTCCGTCTTGAAGACATTTCTGAATGTCCCAGAATTTTTCTGTAAAATGTCGTGTAGCTTCCTGTGTGCATTGTTTTGGAGAGAAGATCAATACATCGGATTCTATGGGAGGTGGACTACATGTTTCTTTATCTCTCTAATATTCTATCGATCCTGTGATGTTCCATCTGTGGTTCACTGAGTGTGGAAGAACAATCTGTGAAGGTTGTAGAAAATATGGATTATTGGAACACACCAAAAGAGTTTCTGATTCAGGAGGCCTGGCATCAAGCTGATGTGAGAAGCACTGATATATGCCATAGGACCCATCACAATTATAGATGTGATAACCAAATGTAGTTTAAAGTATTTTAAAATGATAAAAGAATATTCTTTTATAGTCTGTGCTGATTAGCATAACCGATTTTCTGAGAAGCCAAGTCCCTTAA